TTTGATAAACCGCGGTTTACTGAATCGTAACCGCGATTTCCAATATAACGGTTATCACCGGTTTCATAAACCGTGGTTTACTGTGTCGTAACCGCGATTCCCAATATAGCGGTTATCACCGGTTTCATAAACCGCGGTTTACTATACCATATCCGCTGTTTCAAATATAACGGTTATCACCGGTTTCATAACCGCGTTGCATGCACTGACAACCCCGGTTTTCACTATACCGGTTATTACCGGTTTTATAAACCGCCGTTTACTGTATCATAACCGCGATTTCAAATATAACGGTTATCACCGGTTTTATAAACCGCGTTGCATGCACTGACAACCCCGGTTTTCATTATACCGGTTATTACCGGTTTTATAAACCGCGGTTTACTGTATCATAATCGTGGTTTCACATATAGCGGTTATCACTGGTTTTATAAACCGCGCTGCGTGCACTTATAACCGCGGTTTCAAACATAGCTGTTATTGCTGATTTTAAAATTTTCGGTGTACTGCATCATAACCATGGCTTGAATATCCCGATTTTTACCGGTTTTACAAACTGCGGTGTGATGTATCATAACCGTGGTTTCACAGATAATGGTTGTTAGTGGTTTTTTTCGACCCCGTTGTATGCAGTTATAAGCGTGGTTAGTTTGGTTAGGATGTATGAAATGGCTATCGATTTCAAATACACTGGCTTACGTTCAGTCACGATTTAGGTTGATTTGACAGTTAATTCTTGATTGAGGTAAACTAGTTGAGTAATGCCGTAGGCAATAGTTATCTGAAATCGTATATATTCGAAAAGGTAACGAAGTGAACTTAAAAAAAGTAGCGTTCATGTTTTAAGAAACTTGATTGAAAGAGATAAATGTTGATTAAGATATTTCGTAATGGTTTTTTTGCGCAAGAGTATTATTTCGAAAAAGTACAATGATGTGAAATTTAGAAAATTATGATAATTCGTTGAAATTTGGGTAGCGAGCAAAATAACAAGTATCGTTACTATTGTAGAAGCACCCTTTTCCTGTAGCACTTTCTGTTGATATTAAATGCATCTCTTTCGCTGCGAATTTTTACATACATTCTCTTGACATGCAAAGAGTGATTTTTAAAAAGATGTTCAAAGAAAACAATCTTAATGTATAAGGTGATAACACAAGTTTAATCTTCAGATGTGAATCAAAACGTTAACATATTAAAAACGTACTCCAAAACATTTTAAATTCAGCGTTTAACCGCGATTCCTACAGCGGCACTCATGCAACATTTTTTAAAGAGAAACCGCGATTAACAACGGTTTGTCGTACCGTATTCTAAACGAACGGCGGTTTCGAATGTTGCGGCTTTCACCGGTTTTATAAACCGCTGTGCGTGCACTTGCAACCGGGGTTTGAAATATAGAGGTTATCACCGGTTTCATAAACCGCGGTTTACTGTATCATAAGTGCGGCTTCCAATATAGCGGTTATCACCGGTTTCATAAACCGCGGTTTACTATATCATAAACGCGGTTTCCCATATAGCGGTTATCACCGGTTTCATAAACCGCGGTTTACTGAATCATAACCGAGGTTTTCAATATAGCGGTTATCACCGGTTTCATAAACCGCGGTTTACTATATCATAAACGCGGTTTCCTATATAACGGTTATCACCGGTTTCATAAACCGCGGTTTACTGAATCATAACCGAGGTTTCCAATATAGCGGCTACCACCGGTTTCATAAACCGCGGTTTACTGTATCATAACCGCAGTTTCACATATAACACTTTTCACTAGTTTTGTAAACCACGGTATTCTCTATTATAAACGCGGTGACTTTTCATTTTGTTTAAAGAAATCTCTATTAATTTGAAATACATCTGTTCACTATCATTTTCATGTTAAGCAGATATATCAGAAGATACTCAATCTAGCACAATAGAAAAATTTTCAATTCATCTGACAATTATTGTGGTAAAAATTTCACAAATAGACTGATAAAAAATGCTACAGCTTTTATTTAGTTTTTAATCTGTTTCTGTTGAGGAGGGATTGAAGTAGAATCAGAAAAAAAAGTATTAGTTATTCAATAAATTAATAAAAACGAATGATTGTTAATGCAGACTGTTTCCACAGAATTCATATGGTATAAGATTCATTTTATTTGAAAAGGAAGCCACGAAAATTTAAAAATAAAGTTTATTGCTGTTCTTTCAACCCACCATGGTGTAACTAGAAGGACCGCAATTTTCTGTGGCGAAATCTCAGTGTTCTATAGCGCGGTTAGTAACGCTTTCAGAAACTGCGGTTTTGCGTATTCGCATCGTGATATGCTACACCGCTGGCAGACGCGGTTTTCAAAACCGCGCTCGTCACTTACAGAAACGCGATTTAGAAAACCGCGGTGTTGCTGTGAAAAACCGTCGTGCATATCGAAGTGTAAAGTAATGTGTAAGGACAGTCAAGATGTCGTGCCCCACTTTTTCTGCCAAATTTTTCGATCATTACACAGATAATTCATCTGACTCTACAAAGGTACTTTGTGGAAATGGAGCTCGAGAGAGTTCACTTCACTGCCCCTAGAAGGGCACCATACCTGAAAGCTTCAGGTTACAGGTTATGGTTGGCATGCTGGAGTCGGTTCACTCTAGTGTGTCGGAAATAACCGCTTGAAACCGCGGTCTGAAAAACCGCGGTTTTGAGCGGTTCTTTAATATAACGGTAGTCAGACCATCTAT